GAGAGGAGAATGGAAGAGAAGGGATTGCAGCATGGCTATCTCCCCTGGGGGGTGATTTCTTGCTTTCTGTCTCTCTGTCTCTCTCTGTCTTTCTAGCAAGTGCACATGCCCTTCAGCAAAAAACTCTCCAAAAAAAAAAAAAGAGAAATATTTTGAGCATTATCTTTAAAATTCAGTATTTTGAAATTTTGAAAGTTATTAACTGTCAAGAACTATGAAGTATGAGCAAAATTTTTTTATATGCAAAGTAAATGTTTGTGGGAAAATGTAAAAAGAAATCAAATAAATTTTTTTAAAAATGCAAGCCACCAGGTCTGGGACATGAACCATGGTTAACCATGTGGGAGTGTCCAGCCCCTTAACCACCATGCCACCTGCTGGCCCCATTGAATTTTAACTTTTACCTTGATTCTCTCCTCCCTCCCTCCCTCCTCATTTCCCTCTCTCCTCTCATATCATCTCTGGTATCCACAGTTGCTCTCCATGCCTTTAAGCCTTCAAGTCTTTCAGTTTCTGCCATAGAGTGCAGACATTTGGTGTAAATTAAGTGGGGACATACAATGCCTCACTTTCATAGTCTGGCTTAATTTGATTAGCATTAAATCTTCTATATTCATCCACTTTCTATCAAACGCCAGTGTCTAGTTTTTTTATGACTGAATAGTATTCCACAGAGTATATGTGCCACACTTTTTCAATTCATTCTTTTGTGCAGACGTTTGGGTTGATTCCATATCTTAGCAACTGTGAATAATGCTACAATAAACATGGATGTGCAAGTGTTTTTCTGACTAAGTGTATTCCTATCCTTTGAGTAATCTTTTACACATCAATGAGCAACAGATGCTTGGGCTATTCCCACGGCCTACTGGCTGGGGGAACCAGATCCCACATGGCCAAACATGCTCATTCTTGGCCCCAATGGCTTGAGTGTGTATGCCCCAAATCCCAACAGGATGGAGAAATGGGCAAGAAAGGATTACAGGGTGACCACACCTCACTGGGACGTGCTTTCTCCCTCTGTGTCTCTGGTAAGCACATGCACCCCATGGCAATGAAAATCAACAACTTATACAGTAATTCCCCTTTACTCATAGTTTTGCTTTTGGTTTCAGTTACCTGTAGTCAACAGCAGTCTGAAAATATTAAATGAATTTGAAAGCAAACAGTTCACAAGTTTTAAATTGTGCAACAATTCGAGTGGTGCAATAAAAATCTCACACTGTTCTGCTCTGGCCTGTTCAGGACATAAATCGACTCTCTCCAGCTTTTCCATAGTACTGACATAAGCTACCGAGTGACCTGCTCAATAATAACTTGGTAGCTATGTCAGTTATCAGATGAAAACAAAACAAAACAAAACAAAACAAGAACTGTATATAGGCTTCAGCACTCTCTGTGTAAATACCCCAATGAAGGGGAAGGGCTGCTGTAGACACAGTACCTCGGGTAGTCGGTTATCGCTTGTTCAGATGGTATTGTTCTTTCCCTTCTCTCTCTTTTAATTTACTTAGTTTAGGTTTTTGCCAGGGTGTGTGCGTGCACTTGCCAGAGAGAGACAGAGATAGGGAAAATGAGAAGTCACTTCCCAGTGGGGATGGCCATGCTCAGTCCCTTGTCCGTTCTCCTCTCAGGATTTCAGACACACACACACACACACACACACACACACACACGTGTACCCAGTGTGATTTTTTCAAGCCGCTGGGATTTGAACCCTGGTTGAATATGTGGGAATCCAGCACTTTAGCCACCACACCACCTGCTGGCCCCTTCCTTCTGTTTCTTCTTCTCCTTCTTGTTCTTTCTTCTTCTTTTTTAGAGCTATTTTATTTCATTCATTGTCATTATTTCTTTGTTGTTTTTATGACCAGAGAGAGACACAGAGAAAGAAGGAAAGTATGAAAGCAAGCTGCCACGTCCAGGACTTGAACCATGGTCAACCATGTGGGAGTCCAGCAGCCTTAACCGCCACGCCACCTGCAGGCTGCCTTCTGTTTCTGACGAACCACTACGCAACCTTTGCCTGGCTATGTAAGTTGTTCTAGCAAGAAGAAGGGCGCACGCTCCCAAGTCAGCCAGCCAGGGCTCTCTGCAGCCTCCGACTTGCGGTGACGACAGTGGTGTCCAGCCCGCAGTCTTCCCAGCAAACTCCACCAGGATGACAAGGGGCTACCCTCATCAGGGCAGGGACCCTGCCCCCCCTGCCACTAGGGACTAGCCAGAACGGTCAGCTGCCTCGTGTCTGAGGTAGGAGTTTGATATCTATCTTTAAAACAAGAAGAGAGGTTGGATAGAGAGCACCAGCTCTCGAGGGCGGTTGGCGGTAGGAAGGCAAACGCCGGCGAAGCCCGGCTGCACCATGAGGGCAGCCGCGTGGCAGTAAGTCCACAGAAACACCCGAGAAGCCCTGGTGCCAGAGACTTAGGAAGGAACCCAGAGAAAGTATCGAGTGCCTGCGTGACAGCCGTGTCCGAGCCGCCGAGAGCAGCCAGGCCACTCTTCACGGCCGCGGGTGGACGAGGTAGATGTGCACGTGCAGATGGCCCGGCACGTGGCAGACGCGGTCCCGTCACCCCGGTGGGCTGAGGTCTGATGGAGGAGTAGGACAACTGCGTGGAGAACAGGAAGGAGTGCGGGGTCGGGTGAGCTGCAAGGGCTTGAGGGCCCAGTGTGAGGTCCAGCCGCAGGCCTACCTCCATGCTCACTCCGCCTGAAGTGGGGTCACACAGGCCCCGCTCTGGCCTCTGGGAGCCCCGGTGACCCTCCTGCAGCAGGGTGGCGCCACCTGGCTCGGGGTTGAACTTCACCCAGGTTGGCAGCGACAGGGCAGAGTGGTGTCAGGTGGGGAGGGCGGGGAGGGCCAGAGCCTCTGGGGCTCAAGCCTCACTTCCTCCTCCTCCCCCCTTCCTGCCCTGGCCTCAGCCTGGCTGCGCACTGGGAAAGGGGAAATGCTGGAG